TCCTGCTCAGGGTGGGGGTGGGGAGGCTGCCTGCAGGACGGCCCTAGCAGATCTGGGGGCCAGAGCCCAGCCAGTCACCGGCTGGCTACACAGAGGCAGAGAATGAACCCTGGGCAAGCCCCGTGCCCAACACCTGCCCAGGCTGGCCCTTTGGGGAGGAGTGTGGGGGTGCCAGCCTGAGCAGAGGAGCCCTGGGAAAGAGGAAGGAGTCAAAGGCCAGTCACAAGGGCTGGGACACCAAGGGAATCCTTCCCCCACACATTTCCTCTTCACCAGTGTGCACCTAGCACCCCTCCAGGGCCCAGGAGAGAGAGGCAAAGCCTACCCTGGGGCCCCTGGGCTCTAGAAGTGTAGGGCAGAGGGCAGGGCAGCAGTAGAGGATGGTCTCAGAAGCCTGAGGGGCCAGAATGGGACAGGAGCCAGGCCCTAGCCAGCTGGGGAATTTTGAGGGTGCCACCAGGGTGTCCCCATTCAAATTCCCCTCCCCCAGCTGTCCCTACAATCCTCCCTCAGAGACATTCAAAACTTGCACATTCCTGAATGGTGCATGGCACCTCTCAGCCTCAGCTCTCCTCTGTACGATGGGACAAACACACCCCTTCTCCCTCTGCCGACATCTCCCTCAGGTCATTTTCAGATGGTATTAAATGCCCTTGCTGCTGGCACATCTGGCCCCAAAGCCTAAGCAGGCAGTAACTACAGAGCAGGGGTCCTGAGCATTCGAGTCTGGGGATCCCAGGGCCAGCCCTGCCTCAATGGGCACTGGCTGTGAAGCTTGAGAAAGTCTCCTGCCTACCTCTCTGAGCCTCGGTCTCCTCTGTGAAGTGGGGATAGGGATGGTGCCCACTCCCGGGATGGCTGCCACTGTGCTTACATGGGTTCCGTGCCCAGCACCAGGGCAGGTACCCAGCGGTGTGGCAGTTGCGGTGGGGGAGGGGGTCTCCACCAACAGCCATCACTCCCCCAGGCCTACCCAGGCCCGGCAGCCTGGCCCACCCCTGGCGATGAGAACGGGAGAGGTGGGGTCCCAAGCACTCCCCCAATCCACCCACCAGCCTGTGTTTGTGTCCAGCTGCCATGAGGACTTCGGATCCAGAGCTCAGCCTTCCCAACAAGGCCTGCCTGGGCCCCCTGCCTTCCCAGTCCCTGGGGGCTCCAAGGACTGGACCACCCCACCCCCAGCTGCTGACCTCAGGAAGCCAAGGGGCATGGGAATGGGGATAGGCTGATCAACAGCTGGGCTGGCCAGGCCCCGAGCCTGGGCTGGAGGATTCCTGCTTCAGGGTGCAGAGACCTTAACTCTTCCTAGACCCAGCTTGCTTAATCTTTCTTGGCCTCAATATGTTCATCTGCAACATGGGTACAGTAGCATTACCTGCCTCATGGGCTGTTTCAAGATTTAAATGAGGTAATAATGGGTATAAGGGCTCAGGGTCACAGGTGGAGAGAACTGATGGCTCTATCCTGGTGACCCAGTCCTTGACCCATCCCTCTCTCTTCTCCTGCGGCCCCAACCTGCCTGCTTCCAGGCTCCCACGTTCTGTGCCCTCCAGCACATGCTTCAAGCCTTTCCCCTGGGGTCGGGGAAACACAGGGCTTCCTCTGGCTGTGCCCACACTTGAGCAAGTAGGCACGTGCTTAGTACAGGCTTGCCCTCGCCTCTGCTGCCTCCAGCACCCCCTACCCCAGCTGCTCTTCCAGGCCCGCTTCCCTTTGCCCTGTCTTGTCACTGGCTACTCGTTGCACAGCCCACCACCCCTCCCACACCCCTTCTCCCACTCCCTCAGCCCTCTGGGCCACTTCTATACCTGAATGGGCCGCATCCTGGGGGGACATGACTCAAGCTCCCTGTGGGCCCCCTTTGTCTCCTGGGGCGGACGATGCTGCACGATGTATTCATAGGTGGTGAGCTTGTGCCACACTGAGGGGGTGAAGAGAGGGCTCAGTGCAATGGAAAAGGAACCCTGGAGTTCAGAAGGTGAGGGAGGGTACCCAACCACAGGCTAAAACCATTGTCCCCATATACACTAAGCCATGGAGTGAGACCAGGTCACCATTAGAGAGCCAGCGCTAGGGAAGGGCATAGTTTCAGGGCTCTACAGCCCAAACTGGGTAACTTCCTACAGCTTAGGGACTCCCATCCCCTGAAAGGTAGGTGTGGGTGTATATGTGGGGGTAGGGGCAGGGGGCACTTACTGAGATAAATGTGGAAGCAGAGCAGGTGGCCGAGCAGGGCTGTGGAGAGCAGGCCCAGAAGGATGAGAAGGGCAGCCAGAGCCAGGATGGCAGGAGCCTGTGTCTCCACAGGGGCAGCAGGCAGGAACACGAACCACACATCTGTGTGATTCTTCAAGACTGCAAGGCACAGGCAGACTGTGCTCAGCCAGGGATGTAACCAGTGACCAGAACAGGCCCAGGGTTGGGGGATGGGAGTGGACCTGGAGCCCACACTGACCTTCAAAGTGGCGGTTGGTACGTAGCTGCATGGGGTTGACAAAGAACTCCACAAAGACATAAGTGGCCACCAGCACGAGGAGCAGGACGCCCAGTAAGGCAGATGCCACACTGTGTAGAAAGAGCCTGGGCCCAGCCGTGGGCAGCTGTCAGCACCCAGGTGCTCCAGCTGGGCAAGGGCCCAGAGCTCAGAAGGGCCGGTGGTTAGGATGGGGAGCTGGGCCTCTGACCCCACAGCCCTGACTCCTCACGAAGCCAAAGCCTTAGGGCAAAGGTGAATATAGGCGGCCACCCCCAACAGGCTCCCCACCTTTCCCTGGGCCAGCAGGAGAAAGACTCCAAACCTACCCTAATCACTCTCAGGCGGAAGCCATCGGGAGCATCACCCTCAGACCAGCACACACACTAACGCACACCAGCGCACAGGTCCCCCAAGTACCCCTATCATCGCCCCGCCCCATACACAGGTTCAAGGCCCCTGGCTTGCACAGACACAGGCATCGCCAGGCACCCCTGTGGCCCGGGCCTGGCTCTCACCGGTAGTTCCTCTCGCCCACGCAGTTGTTGAGCCACTTGCAGTGATGGTCGAAGCCGCACACGCATTTGTTGCAGGCGCTGCAGTGCTTGGAACGAGCACTCCTGCGGTGGAAAGGGGGCACAGCACGGTTGCGGGCTTCTTCCGCCTTTTGCCGCCGGGCCTGGCTGGGTGGTTGCCGGTTCCCTGCCTGGAGCGGGTCACCCACCCGCGCCTAAGCGGAGAGCGGAGCGCGTCAAAGGGGAGCACGCGCGCCCTCTGGCGGGGGGCACTGTGGGGCGGGCACCCGGAGGAAGCAGCGCTTCTGAAGAGGCGGGGTG